GGAGGAAGCCCAGGGATGTGTTCTGGGAAAGGGCGATTTGCAGACACCAAACAGCCTGACACGCTGCTCTTGGTGAAGACAGCCCCACTACTCCAGATGGTGTGCAAGTCTGGGAGAAGGCATGGAGGGTGGTGAGGCTGATGGCTGCACACCCGGGGCGGGGAGATCAAATGGGAAAACTTGGCCGGGCTCGTGGCTCATGCCTGTAATCCCAGCACTTTGGGAGGCCGAGGTGGGTGTATCACCTGAGGTCAAGCAATCAAGACCATCCTGGCCAACACGGGGAAACCCCATCTCTACTAAAAATACAGTAATTAGCCGGATGTGGTGGCGCATGCCTGCAATCCCAGCTACTTGGGAGGCTGAGGCAGGACAATCACTTGAACCTGGGAGGCAGAGGTTGCAGTGAGCCTAGGATGCGCCATTGCACTCCAGCCTGGGTGACAAGAGTGAAACTCTGTCCCCAAAAAAGAATACAAATGGGAAAACTTGCTGCAGAAAACCTGACCAAGCCTGGGCTGGGCAGTGGGAGTCTGGAAGAGAGGCTGTTTCCTTTAGGATCAGAACCGTGGGGCCCTTATGAGGCAAAGCCCTGGGAGGGACTCCCAGCTGCGTCTCACGGTGGAGACCTGGAGCGCACTCACCCCGAGCCAGCGCTGGCCCTTGTTGGCTCCGTGGTGCAGCTGCACCTTGCGTAGGGAGATGGAGTAGATGACTCCGTTGATCAGCTCTTCACCAATCTCCTGCGTGGAGCTCTGTGAAGACAGTGCCCGGCAGCCGGGCGGGGGGACGTCAGGGGCCTGCCTGGCCACTGTGCAGGGGGGTGGCCCTCTGCAGCCTGTTCCCCAGATAGAGCACAGACTCACAGCCCAGGGTGAAAGGAGATCACGGCTCGAGGGCCTAGGCTTAACATAGGCGCAGAAGGTCACTGTCATGGCAGGCCATTTCCCCGACCCAGCTAGCCACGGCCTGGGACGTGAACATGATGGGTCCACCAAGCTTCCAATCCCCTATTAACTGGCTCCGGCTCCTGCCCAGGACTGGCCCACTCTCGAGCCATCCCCTTCCATGGTGGGGACTGTTGTTCAGCCATTTCACAGATGGGTAAATGGAGGCTGAGAGAGGAGCAACTGTTTCCAAGGTCATGCTACCACAGGTAAGTGGTGAGGCGGGGATGCCAGGGCTCTGACACAGCTGACGGATCCAGGCGGCTGTGCCCCGAGAGATGGTCCCCCCACGTCCCCAGGGCCCGAGGCCCATGGCCGTCCTCACACTCACCCCTCCTCTGCCCAGCCTGGGAGGCCCCAGCTGACCCCGCAGCACAGGTCTGGACCGGTGTGGGGCACTCCCGACAGTCACAGCCCAGCCACTTCCTTCCCCTCTGCTCATTCATGCCCTCATGCTTGCTTGGGCAATGGGAGTTCCCAGTTCCCCAACCGTCATCACGTGAGGGGGCGGTATCCAGGCAAATGCTGGGGTTCCACAGAGCCCCAAACCACAGGCCTGGGCTGGAACAGGAAGGGGGCATCTGGCCCCGGGCAGTCAGGAAAGGCCCTCGTCCTAGGAGACAAAGACTTCCCCCTACCTGGCAGGCTGGCCTCGGTCACTTAGCCGCAATGACCCTCAACCTGACAGCCCCCTGTGCCATATGCTCTGTCCAGGGACAGGATGAGCTTGCAGAGGAAGAGGAGCCGGGGTTGGGGGTAAGGACACCGACCTGTGAGAGTTTAGGAAGGAGCTGGGAGGTACTGGCCTGGCCCGGGGTCATTAGCCCACAGGCAGTACCCCAACCCGGGTGGGCGTGGAGCTGGGAGACAGTGCTGACTCGGGCCCTTCCCTCAGCCCCGGCAGGAGCCAGGCAGACTGTCTAGCATGCTGTGGACGGGACCCTGGCCGCCTGCCTCCTGCCCACCCTTGGAGGCCCAGGAGCCATCCTGGAAGTGCACTTCCTCTGACCCGAGGTCACCCTCCCACTCCGGGCTTCATACCAACAGGAAGGCTGCAGGTGTCATGCTGGGCTCCTGACTGCCACTGCCTCTGGACAGAGGGCCAGCCTGTTTCTTGGTAGTTAGCAGGGAACCCACAGGCACATTCACACCCACAAACAGCCCACGCCAGGGGAGGTCCGGCCCTTCCACTGACGGGAAAACGGACACGTGCTCACCCCGCCCCCCCCCGCTTTTCCTGACTTACACATATCTCTCCTGCCTAGAAAATCATCCCTCGGAGAAGAAAAGCATTAGAGGTTACAGTGACCAGGGTACCTGGCCACTCTGGCTGCCTTGGGTCCCAGACTGCCTCCTGTGAAGGCCACTGGCTCACCTGGGAGGGCTGGTGTCTCCCGCGGATTTTAGCCACATCTGGACCAGCTGGGAGGCAGGCAGTATCCTGAGGGCCCGAGTCACTGGCAGAAGCTCTGAGGTCTCGTGCAGGACAAGCTCGCCACAGGGGATTGGACGTTAACCCCTGGGGAGCCTGGCACAGTACCCAGGTCCTGGCAGAGCACCATCAGTGCCTGCTGGACAGAGGTGTCCCTGGCCAGGCCAACCCCCAGGAGGGGCTGACACCAGGTGGCCTTGGCCATCCCTGAGCTGGTCTAGATGGCAGCTGGCCCAGCCCTGCTTGGTGTCATGTGACATCCCTGCACCCTCCCCTACCCTGGGGGCCCTCTTCTGCCAGGCGGGTGGTGGGGAGGGATGCAGGCCCAATGCTGAGAGCACGCATGCTTGGGGTGAGGGAGCTGCCACCCTGTCACAGCTGGGGAGACGTTCCAGCCTGCATGGAGCCGGCCTGTCCTCTCTGTCCTGTCGCCACAGCAGCAGCAGCAGGCACGGAACCAGGCCACACAGCTACGTGGAGCACAGGCACCACTTAAACTGCCTGCTAAGATGGCAGAGGTGCAGGCTCTCCTGGGGTCTTCGCACAAAGCAGCAGAGTGGGGCTTCTATCCCTTGCTCTGACCCCCTCACAGGACACAGAAAGCAAGCAGCTGACAGCCCTGGCCGCTGCCCCGGGACCCTCTGCAGCAGGAAAGGAGGGCTCCAGCACCCACAGGCCACCCTGGGTCACTGTTAGCAGAGCAGACAGCCCACGTGGGCAGGGCCGTGCCACAGGGTGCTCTGGCTGGGAGTTCCGAGGGAGACGAGGACCGGCCTAGTAAACAGCTGATGCAGAGAAAACGCCTTCCCCCGAGGGCAGGCGCCCGGCAGCCGCTCTGAGCTGACTGCTGGGAGGAGAAGAGAATGCCACGTGCCTGGCTGTGTCCTCGGGACACTCCTGCCCGTCCCACCCCCAGCAGGTATGCTGATGTCCCTGGGCTCTGGGACCCAGCTGGCAGCTGTGCCTGTGAACACACGGCCTGGCCTTCTAACATTTGGGTCAGTGCAGTGAGGGTGGTATGGCGGCACAGGGTCCCCGGTAAGCAGGGGCCACCACACCCCAGTGTCCCCAGGGACACAGCCCAGAGCCCTGAAGATAAGGAGGGAAAACGGGGCCTGGGTGGTGTCTAGTGAGTGTGTCACCTGATCAGCCTTCTCAGAGTGACAGGCCAGCAGGATGCCGTGTCCCTGGCTGATGGAGGAAGCCACAGGCCCAGCCCAGACTCCCTCTGGGTAGAACAGTGAGGGTCTTGAGGGGGTCCCACAGGGCCCACCGCACCCCTGCCATCTCCCCACCAAGGCTGACGACACCTCCTCCCAGCATCCGCCCTCTGGTGCTGCTCTGGACTGGGACACCTTTCCTCGGAAGTCATAACTAGTGTCCCCTACCCCCCCCCCGCCAGGGAGGGCTCCAGGAACTCGAGGGCCCCTCCCAAGGAGACCTGGCTGAGGGCTGAAGTAGAGTGAGGAGCCCAGCAGCCCTGCACCATGTGCTGCTCCGCCCCAGCCCTCCCTGGCTCTGTGCGTGGAAAGAGCCTCCACGTGTGTGAGTGGTCCTGGGGGAACACCCACGCCCCTCTGAGCTGCTGCTCAGGTCCCAGTCAGCAGAGGTCACCCGGGGCGCTTGCCAGCCCCCTACAGTTCTGGCCCACCACACGGCAGTTCACCGTCTCTCAAGGATCCAGCTCCCAGCTCTGCCCAGCCCCTCGGCCCTTGGCCTCAGTGTGTGAGCTGGAGGGGACAGCAACAGCTCTCTCTGGCGACAGCGGGGGTCAAGAGAGAAGGCATGCAGCTTGGCGACTGACACCTGACGGGGTGACACTGGGAAACACTGACACCACAGCCCCCAGGGCCGGCAATGGATGCTGGGCGGTAGAACCCTGAGGGGAACTTGTCTGAGACCTGCCTGAGGCTCGGGGACCTGGCCCACGGGCACTGTAAAGAGCAGCTGAGTCACCCTGAAACCCGGCGGGCGGGAGCAGCTTTGACTTCAGCTTCTCGCTCCAATACAGAAGCCAAAGGTGAACTGCATCACAAGGCTGCTTGCTCTCTGCAGAGCCCAGGCTCCCGGGGCAGCGCAGCGCTCACACTGCTGTGCGTCTTCTCCATCCTACAGAAGTGGGACCAAGGCCCGGAGAGCGGAGCAAGTGGGGCGTGTGCAGGCTGAGGTGACAGCCTAGGACTTCTCAAGTCCATGTCCTGGTTCCTCTCAGACCACAAGTCCAACCAAGGGAGGCGGAATGCAATGTCCGAATATCTACGACCCGCATGCCCTCAGGCCTGCCCTCCAGCTCCGGGTGGGTGGACCCAACCCTGATCCCCACGCATGGACAAGGCCCCAGGATGACAGGAGGCCAGCCCTGGGTGTGGGTGGGCCACACTCCTGGTCCTGGGCACTGCGGCCCACAGAGGTGGCCTCAGATGGGGCTGACATGAGGTGCCTAGCCACCAGGGAGCTCCCTGGCCTGGAAAGTGGAGGCTGGGAACCGGCCTGTGCTGAGGCCCTCAAAGGCCGGCCCATCTCTCCAGAAACCCTCCCTGCCAGCCTGCGCCTTGCTACTCACTGATGGGAAAATGGTGCCTCAAGCAGGAGAGGGGAGACCCAGCCCTCCAGGTCAGCCGCAAGCCTCGTGCATCCGAGGTCCCTGTCCACGCCCGGCCCCTGACAGGTAAACAAAGGGCCAGGCCCAGGAGGGGCATGGCTGGTCCCGAGGGGGTGCAGGGCAGGGCCAGCTCAAATTCCAGCCCCAACTTTAACCATCCACAGCACCCAGCATGTGCAGGGACCTCCTGGGTGTAGGCGCCTTTGCAGACTCATCATGGTTAATCCTCCTAACACCCTGCCTGATGGATAAGGAAGCAGCCTGGTAAGAACTCGCCCAAGTCAGGAGCCAGGAAGTGGGAGCCAGGACTTGAACCCTGGCCCGCTGGGACCCACCCAGACCTGGCGCTGCCTCTGCCAGGGTCCCGGGCTTGGAGCAGAGTACAGTCGCTTGTGGCATAGATGTGGAGGAGGGGCCAAAGACAGGAAGGACTTCCTCAGGTAACACGGCAAGTTCGGCGGGGAGGGTGGCAGGGCCAGCTCTCCAGCACCTGCATCTCTAGAGGTTTGGGGATGTGCCCTGGGCAAAAGGCCTGCAAAATGCCAGGCCAGGGAAGCACCATGCTGAAGGTGCCAGGTGACATGCCCCAGGAGCCCAGAGCACTTGGAAGGCTCAGGCCACTCCCCTGGCACGTCATCAGAAAACTTCATTGTGGCAGCTGCCACCTGTCCACTGTGCCAAGCACTATGCAGGCTGCTCCTCAGGCCTCCTGTCTCACTCAGTCCTCACCAGAACCTTACGAGGAGGAACTAGCATCACGTCCACTTTACAGATAAGGAAACTGAGGCTCAGAACAGGAGCACGTCTACAGCTGCCAGGGGGCTGAGGGCATCCCAGCACAGCTCTCTTCCCTCCAGAGCCCAGGCTCCCTATCCCTTGGTTGACATGGACAAAAGGCCCCAGGAATGACTGCAGGGGAGGCTGCCACAGCATGCAAGCTCCCTATGGCAGAAGACGCCACAACCCTCCAATGCAGGTGCCCTGCTCTGCTTGCCAAGCAACCATTGGGCTGTCACCCCACTTCCTCCCTGGCCTGTGGGCAGCCAAGGTATTCGGAACTGGGAGAATTGGGTCTGCTCGAAGCTCAGCTTGTCCTGTGCGAGGCTGCAGACTTCAGCGTCTGCCCCATGAGAATCGGATGGGGAGCATCGCCCTGCTGGTGCGGTATTTCTGGGCCTGCAGGGCTGGAAGTCCAACCCTGGCACAGGATGGCCACAGCATGGTGGTACCACACCATGGGAGCCATCTGGGCGGCTGGCCAGCAGCCCTTGGGAATGGGTCGTCAACTGCCTGGGTGCAACTTCCTGAAACCGCCCCACTGGCTCCTTCAGAGCCTGCCCGCACAGGGCCAGCGATAAATCTCCCCAATCTTCTCTTACTGGCAACGCAGACCGGGCCTGGAATTATCCAATTTCCAGGTTAAGAATCGGACCCCAGCCCTGCCAGCGAGCAGCATAACGTCTCTCGCGGCCATTCGTACGCCTCCTGGGAAACAGGCTAGCATGCCTGACCATCCTCCACCTGGAGAAGGAACAAAGACCCAGGACCAGCCAGCCTGCTCCCCTTCTTCTCCTGGGGGACCCTCCCTAAGAGTAGAGCAAGAGGGGAACCTGAAGGTCTTGGGGGCTGCCCCTTTGAAGTCACCTAGGAAGCTCTCCTGGAAGACCACAGTCTGCACACAGGCACACATGCCTACATGGGGACAGGCCCCTTGCCCTGGGGTCTTCAGTGTCCAAAGTACTCATGAGCCCTGGGGATTAAACCAAAGACCTGCACACAGTGTGGTCAAGAGATCAGGGAGTGGGAGGGCGTGGGAGGCCGAAGGGGGGTGCTCCCTGTGAATACAGAGAAGCCGCCTTCACTCCTACCCACTTACAACTGCCCTCAGCCTCCCGCCCCCACCCTCCCAGGGTCCCTCTCCAGCCGCCAATGAAAAACAGAGCCCCAAGTAGATGAGGGTTGGGGGAACACGTCTGGTCTGGCCATCTGCCAAGCTCAGGAGGAAAGGGTCTCTCAGGCACGGGGTATTCCCCCACCAAGAGCTCTCCCCAACACTGGGCGGAGAAACATGTCTTTGGGTCAGAATCCTGCCTCTGCCACTGACTCTTGGTCACTCCGTGCAATCTAACCTCTGTTGCCTCTGGTTTCATCTGTCAAGTGGGCTCTTAACAATCCTGACCCCAAAAAGAGGTGATGCAAATTACTTAGTCTAGGACCTTCCCAAAACGTGCCGGCTCCTATTAGCTATTATTTTAAAGCTTTAGGGTCCAGCTCTGGGCCCGCTTCCTCCTGCCAGCTCTCCCCAGCGTCCTGTGGCCGAAAGCACTTTTGCCTTCCTCTGAACCATAAGCTTCCCTACCGTTCACCTGACCTCGGGGCTTCTGGGCTGCCTGGCCTTTGACTGCGAGTATTGCCCTGTCCTCCTATTCCTGATGGTGCCTGCACATAGTAGGTGCTGCAGAGAACACAGCCCATGCTCAAAGCCTGGCTGCAGCCCTTGCTGGCTGCACGGTGTTTAGGTCAGAGACTTCCCTTCTCTGACCCCCCTAGCTTCCTAGAAGGTAGTGTTGGCACCTATTGTGTAGGATGGTCTAGGCTGGAGAAAATGAGGCGGTGGCCGGCAACCTGCACCTCTGGCCTGGCTGAAGCCACAGCCTGTCCAGAGCAAGGGGTCAGGTAACCTCCAGAGCAAGAACTGTGCAGGCCAAGCGGGGTCAGTGGTGGCTTCGCTTAGAATCGAGAAGATACGCAGAAGCCCAGATGCGAGGGCGGCTAGCAGCCCAGAGGGAAGCACCGGGCGGACGCTAGGTAGGGAAACGGGGCGCGGGGGAAGCAGAAACTGTCTGGTGGTTTCCAGAGGACAGGGACCAAGTGTGCAGAGTCAGCTCTGGCAGGCCACATAGCCACCAGGAAACCAGCCCCAGGATTGAGGGGGTGTTGGCAAGAGGGACAGGGACTTCCCCGCCCCCTCCCTTGGGCCTTTGGTAAATGGTCATTGTGTTCGGTTTCCGGCAGTGGCCTTCTCTCCTGCCAGGATCCTGGTTTCCCTGACCCAGCCAGAAGCTTCCCCTTTGATTTCTAAATAGCAGCCATGGGCTGGACCTCAGTGCTGAGGCTGGGCAAGGAGCACCAAGGCCAGAGAGAGGGAAGGTAAGACCCCAGGCAGGGGTGGGGCTCAGCTCTGCCTCTCCCTGGTTCCTCAGGGACCAAGATGGACAGAGGGAGAGAGAACCTGCTCGGCCCCTGTGAGTGCTTGGCCGGACCCTCCCAGCACACAAAGCCCGAGCTGCTGCCAGACATAATGAAAGCCAGATGAGCGCTGGGCTGGTGTCAGCCGTCAGCCTCCCACCCCCACCCTCCCAGGGGTCCCTCTCCAGCCGCCAGTGAGGAACAGGGCCCCGGGTAGATGAGGGTTGGGGGAACACGTCTGGTCCGGCCATCTGCCAAGCTCAGGAGGAAAGGGTCTCTCAGGCATGGGGTGTTCCCCCACCAAGAGCTCTCTCCAACACTGGGCGGAGAAACATGTCTCATCCAGGCCCTGTCTAGGTACCGGGACACCAAGAGGCATGAGACCCAGGCTAACAATCTCCAGCAATCGCAACGCGCCACAGTCTAAAGCCACAAAGGGACTGGAGATGCACCAGGCGGACACGACGCAGCACGGGGCTCAGAACCGTCACTGTTAAGGATGCAGCCCGGCCAGAGCTCTCATGGGCCCTGAGCCCCCAACCCAAGGCTGGCCTCTGTGCAGGCCCTGTGCCCAGGCAGAGCAGGGTGAGGGGGGTGCTCTGGGCTCCACTACCTCTGCTGTGCAGTCAGGAGCAGTCAGGTGGGAGGCAGATGGCACCACCCAGAGACCCATGGCCCCCTGCCCAGGGCACACGAGAAACAAGCCCCAGCCCGCACATAGTCACCATCCCCTCCATCCGCCACAGGTACACCACTCCCTTCTCCGAATCCTCCCCACACCTTACAGATTCGGGGTGCTAGCACTCTTTCCAATTAAGCACCCTCCTCGCGTCACCACCAGGACATCTGGTCCCACATGTTGGAGGCCTGATGCTCCGCCCCATCCCCGGACCCCTGCCTCTGAGCAGCCCCGATGTCCCTGGTCACCAGATCCACTTCTGCCCCAAGGAGACTCGGTCTGGAAGGCCGACATGGTCCCAGTCACCTCTGAGGATTCTAGGATTTTGCCTCCCCGACCAAGGATCGACACCTGCATCGTAAAGCCCAACGGTGCAGTGCAGGCCCCGGGCTGGCGACTGAGTGAAATAAGGCACAGGCCACAGATGTAAACAGTGGCAGTGCTGCAGGAAAAGGTCCACCTGGGCTGCGGGGGCTCGGTGACAGGCCCTGGGACAGTACTGAGGGGGGCAAAATCCTAGCAGTGGCCCCTACTGTTGGAACGGGCGCGGCGGCGGCAGCCCCCTCCCTGCTCACCCTACTGGCTGATTTCTGCAGAAGGCCCCGACCCCCACCTATGGAGAGAGGAAGGAGGCGGCCCGCTGGGGTCGCCCGGCCCGCCCGGGGCTCACCCCGGCCCGCCCAGCCCGGCCGCGGGTCGGGAGGCTCCGACGCGCCCCCCGCCGGGCCACCCCAGCTCACCCACCTCCGGGCGCGGCAGGTCGGGGTCCACTGGGGTGAAGCTGTGCAGCACCACCGGGCAGCTGTCGGGGACGCCCACCTCCAGGCGCACGGCGTCCCACACGCTGCGGCTCCGCCGGGAGCCCGGAAACAGCGGCTCGGAGCCGCCGGCAGGCCCGGCCGCGTCGGCCCACATGCGCTGCACCATGGAAGGCCCGCGGCGGGAGCCGGGCCGCGGGACCCGGG